CCATTACTACAATTGAGAGAAGATCAAAGATTGCAGATCTTTTAACAAAGAGGCTTTGTGTATTTAACGACATAGAACGTTGACTCCATTGACTCAAAAACTAAACTTACTGAAAATAAAGTTTTAATCGTTTCATGGAAAAATTGTGAGCCACAGCCCTAGCGATCATGTATGTAGGTTCCACATTTCTTTGAAGTTTCTCTGAACCCAAGTCCCTTTGATATTTCCTCTCATAAATGAACTTATGTTTGGACTCAGTCAGAGAGGAAATGATTTCAAAAGAGTAGTCTAAATTGACGCATATGAAATGTCTCCCAGAATCCTATCTGCGTCTAATAGGACCAATCCCATTGTCACTGTTCTATTCTAAGAAAGAAGCAGCAAGGAAAAGCACAAAGCAATTACGAGGCAGTGATCAAATCAGTGTCCTCTGTTTTTCACTTGGCGACTTCATAGCGATAAACAGAGTTCTCTGTTTTCTTACTCGGTGGCTTCATAATCAGACAGAGTCTCCTCTGTTTTCTTTCAATATAAATTACTCGGGGGCTTCATAATCAGACACAAGAACCGTCTCGAACATGTTTGACTAATTGTAGTAATGTTTGAAAATTGAAACCTTTAGACACAAGAACAGAGTAATTTTTTTGCAGACACGCAGAACTTTCTCATTAGATTCCAACACTTAAATGGAATCTCAAAATATTGGAAATAACAAAAAATTGTATTATAAGCACAGTTATATAGAGAGAGACACATTCATGAAGCTTCTTGATAGTTATGAAAAATAAGCTGACCTGCATCATCTCGTACACCATACATACCCCTTTTTTTAATATCTGAATGTTAACTTTTGATCTCACGAACCAAAAACAAGAAGTTCCCTGTGATTTTTTTTGCCTGCTTCTCTTTGTCTCTGCTTTCATTCTTCTTTATCAGACTTCGTCAGTTTTAGTGTCTGTCTCATCGCTGTCTGAAGATTTACAGCTTCCATCTCCCAAGCTCTCACCAATATGAGGAGCCACCAAGAATTAGCTATCTCATATTTTTTGTTGTTGATTTTTATTCAAAGAAAAGCTCTCTGGATGTGTACTCACTAGGAGATGTCTGGATGATGAGGTCTCTCGCTTCTTGATTCAGTTTAGAGCATTTGGCAAAGTTGAGACAGATTCTTTGTGTTTAGCTTCAGAGTGGTTACTTAAAATCTTTTTCTCCGTTCATTTGTCTCAGATGCTCTTTCATTGATTCTTGGTTGATAACGTGGCTGTTTACATCCTCAAGAAGTACCCTAAAGATACTTGAATAAAGAAAAATTGCAGAACGTAGAAGCAAAATGTATTAGAGCATAGAATCAATATGAGTCGGAATAAAAAAGGATGTAAGTTGTCATTTAATCATCATCTTCATGACCAAGCTCCTGTGATTTTGCCTGCTCTTCTTCTCCCTGCACTGTTATTCTCTGGATGCTTCTTTGTCAAATTAACCTGCACTAAGATCATTCTGTTTGGACGTGACGGTGAAGTTACAATCCACACCAATAGCTTACCGTATATAACTAACCTCATGAAAATCATATCCACTAATCTGATGTTCCATCTACATGAAGAGACTTAAGAGAGTTGGCGTAGCCCACATTCTTTTATAACCCATGAGCTGGCTTCAATCTCAAAGATAAGCTCGTCGGAAGTAACTTTGTAGACATCAAATTCAAAGGTGTACAAATGCACCGGTATAGTGTGACCTAGAGCAGGAGGTAGACGGTGGTGTGATGGTTTGCATCGAACAATGAGGCCATTCTCTTTGTCCTTGAACCTAAATGTCGCATAAAAGGTAGAACGAGGGTTGACACCATCAACCATATCACCCAGCGCAATGCAAGCCTTAAATCTCACGGATTTATGAGGAGGCCTCTCATGCAGCTTCACTGTTAGGGTACCTCCAGTAGCTCGGTCACTAAAGTAGACAGGCACTTCTCCACCAGGAAAAACTGAACCTGCACGAGTCGATGCCTGGATGATAAGATCTCTCGCTTCCTGATTTAGTTTGAAGCAGTTTCGAAAGTTGAGACAAATATCTGGATTGCTAAAGGAGAAATCTAGTCTCTCAAGGGAGACACAGTTTTCTGCATCTAGGACTTTTAGGGAGTCCGGAAGCTGTGGGAGTGATACCAGCTTCTGCATTCCGTTTAGTAAAAGTCTACGTAGACGAGAGCATCCCTTGACCCATGGACCAAGCTCTTGAATACCTGCATCATCGGTCAAGTGAAGCACTGTGATGCTGTCAAAAGCATGCGGTGATTCCTTGAGGTTGTCAGAGTACGACATCTGCAATTCTTCAAGACGAGACCATGACCTAATCGCCAAGGGGACTTGTTTAACTGAAGTTCCAATGAGCTTGAGAATTTGAATATTTGGGGACATCTCAGGAAAAGTTTTCAGCAGCGGGCAATAACTGAGATTAAGATTCTCGAGAGACTCCATATTGATGTTGATCGGAAGAGCCTTTAGCTTTGAGCACCCTTCCATAGACAATTGCTGCAATTTATGAAGGTTTCCGATCGAGGAAGGGAGCTCCACAAGATTCGAACATTTTGTCAGAGATAATTGCATGAGATTAGTGGAATTCCCGAGAGAGGATGGGAGCGCAACCAGACTTGAACAACAGTCAAGAATCAACTCTTGGATATTCTTAAGATTCCCGATAGAGGAGGGTAGCTCCATTAGACTTGAGCATCTGTCTAGACTCAAGGTTTTGAGTTTAGTGGCATTCCCAATAGAGGAAGGGAGCTTCACTAAACTTGAGCAATCATCGAGAAATAATTCTTTGAGATTAGTGGCAGTTGAGAGATCAGGAAGCTCCTTCAGGTCTCTAGAACATCTCAAATCCATCTCCTTGAGATTTTTAAGCGGCTGTACATACATACATACATACAAATAAAGCCACCATAATACTATTAGTTGAGCGGTGCGGTAAATTAGATCATTCTAAAACATCGTACCAGAAAACAAATAGAGGATCAGATATTTCTGAAATGTAAAAAATTTCAGATACTTAAAATGAATCTGCTTACTTTAATTCCGTCCCACAGCTTCTCAAGCTTGCTATTCTGCATCCTTAGATGGACGAGGAGCATCGGATTATAATTACAAGGCAAACATTTCATCGGAAAATCACACCATTCTAGTAATATAAGATTTTGTGATATGGTGGTCAGACTTTCCGGAAAGTAGGATCTACTGCAATCGCCATTGATTCTTAAGAATTGGAGATTAGTCATTCTCTCAAACGCTCTTTCACTTGTATATAACTCATCATCGCTTTTAGATAACGTCAGTTTTAATCCTATAACACTGCTACTATCCTGGAAAAAGACACAATGAAATATAAATAGAGATGGTTAGTTATCAAAATATACTCAATTTCTAATGAGCAATGCAATGAAACACCAATGTCAAAACTTACTGTTGTATCATCACTGAGTACTTTACAGATATCTGTTGCATCAACCAACAACCGGCGTTTCCCAGGCTTACGAATCTCAGGATCACTACCATATTTTTTCCGCACAATTTCTCTTCCGAGCTGGACTAGCAAACTATTTATCTCTATATATCCCGAGAAGATGGTTATGAGAGATTTATCAACTAAGATGTCAAGCCCTGGCCTGAAGTCCGAGAATGTCTTCGAAAGATAAACTTCTAGTGACTCAACACTTCCAAAGTTGAAAAACCAAGTTATGTGAAGGAATAAATCTTTCTCTCTCTGAGATAAGGCATCGTAGCTGAACTTTAAAATACTCTCAATTTGTCCATCAAGGCTGCTCCTTAGGCTTGGTAATGCATCTTCCCACTGCTGCTTGCTCTTTCCCCGGAAAGAGGAGCCAATAACCCTTAGTCCCAAAGGGAGTTGACCCGCAAGAGCTGTAACTTCCCAAGAAAGCTTCTCAAAACCAGCTACAGGGGATTTTTGTTTGAAAGCATACATACAGAAGATTTCAAGAGAGTTAGTAGGAACACCCACCTTGTAAACGTGATTGATCCCATGCGCCCTCAAAAGATTTTGATCTTGT